ACCGTCACAAAATATTATATGTTCTACCGTTTCCTCCTCCCCATTACAATAGCCACAATTTGGTGACTCTACTAAATTTCACCTACACATATATAAGGTACTGTTAATGGTTTTGTAACCAGTGAAAAGCTCAACCAGCTCTCTATTTGGTTTAAACCACTGATTATTATTTACAAATTCTACACTAGGTATAAACTTATAAGTAACTCTTCCTCGATCATCTTTATCCCATTCCTCCTGCCATTTATTTATTATAATATTTGAAGATAAATAATGCACGTTACAATCGCACATTAATCGCCACAATACGATAAATATGAATCTTTCCACTCGGAAAGCAAGGTGAAGGGGAGTGGGGGAGAGTTGATTTAAAATGGCCCTGAATTAAATATGAACCTAAAGTCATATTTCATGTTGATTTATAAATATACCTCGCGAAATTCCGCACAAACTCGCGCTATTCAGCTAATTGCTCCGCAATATTGAAATAATGACGATCGGATAAATAGAAGGAATACAAGGACTATATGCGCATAATTATAACTTAATTGATATTTATGTAATAAATTTATACATACTTTGATTTATTACTGCAATAATGTGCAATTGTCTTCATCAAATCTTAACGCTGTTGCATTTAAATGCACATACACTTCATCAGGAAATCGTACCGATTGCGAAAATGGAGCAGGACGCACTAAAGATTGCCAAGCATCTCTAATTCTATCATGTACCGCCTTTACATGAAAGGAAGCATAATGATAATCACTGACGAATTTACAAAACTCGTCATAATCGGTAAATGGTTGCTTAGCAAGCAACCGATGTTGTATAGTAAATCCCTGGTATGCCATTATATCAATCCGAATCTCAGTCAAATCCTGCACAAATGTTTCAACACACGTACAATACCCTAAACTCTTACAACGTATTTCTTTACACGTACAACGAGGCATCGAATATAAAATTTTATCAAAACTTAACTTAATATCATATATAATTCTAAAATTTATTCATTTTATATTTTAAAATTTTTATGGATTTTACAATTTTATATTTTAAAACCAATTACTTAAACATAGAACCCAAAGTCCTGCCAAACGACGATTTCTCTTTATCCTTTTCTTTACTATAAATATCCCATTTTTCAGCCGCAGAATAATAATCACATCCACTTCGCTTCATTTTCTTCTTCAAATACTTATCCCGATCTCGCATTCCACTATAACCAGACGATGATGATGGTTTCTCATAAAAACCACACTTATCATTAGTACGTAGCTGTATTAAAAGCATATTCTTCTTTACTCTTATACAAAACAGAACCAATCGCATCACGGCTGGCAGCCCCTGATTGGGCGCCACTGATGTCAGTTTAAAGCGCAGTGATAGGCTTGGAGTGTCGAAAGGCTCGTAGCTCCCGATAAGCTAGAGCAAGAGCGACTGCATCGAAAGCGGTCATCTCTTTCATCCCGAATTCTCAGAAATTATCGATCGACCGAGCCGTATCTCCTATCGCTTTAAATTAAATCTCGTTTAAGGCGCCTCGTCTTCCATCGCCTTTAATTCGATTTCGAACACTTATCCACTCTTAGAAAAGGCATGTTAAATCGATACTTGTGGCACGATCACGATAACTTTAGCTCTCTATTTGAAAGGTCGTCTCTGAAGACAAATTTGACGACGAACACGGGAAAAATAATTAAAAAATTATAAGATCAATAGTTTGCAAGATATAACCAGGTTGGGATTTTTTTATGTACTTGGCGTATTTTTTTTACCTTTATGAGGTTTTTTTAGAGTCAAACTATTCAGATTAACAAAACCTTTATTAATTTCGTCATATCTAAATTAACTGTATTTTCCACAATTAAATATTTTATGTTCTACCGTTTCCTCCTCCCCATTACAATAGCCACAATTTGGTGACTCTACTAAATTTCACCTACACATATATAAGGTACTGTTAATGGTTTTGTAACCAGTGAAAAGCTCAACCAGCTCTCTATTTGGTTTAAACCACTGATTATTATTTACAAATTCTACACTAGGTATAAACTTATAAGTAACTCTTCCTCGATCATCTTTATCCCATTCCTCCTGCCATTTATTTATTATAATATTTGAAGATAAATAATGCACGTTACAATCGCACATTAATCGCCACAATACGATAAATATGAATCTTTCCACTCGGAAAGCAAGGTGAAGGGGAGTGGGGGAGAGTTGATTTAAAATGGCCCTGAATTAAATATGAACCTAAAGTCATATTTCATGTTGATTTATAAATATACCTCGCGAAATTCCGCACAAACTCGCGCTATTCAGCTAATTGCTCCGCAATATTGAAATAATGACGATCGGATAAATAGAAGGAATACAAGGACTATATGCGCATAATTATAACTTAATTGATATTTATGTAATAAATTTATACATACTTTGATTTATTACTGCAATAATGTGCAATTGTCTTCATCAAATCTTAACGCTGTTGCATTTAAATGCACATACACTTCATCAGGAAATCGTACCGATTGCGAAAATGGAGCAGGACGCACTAAAGATTGCCAAGCATCTCTAATTCTATCATGTACCGCCTTTACATGAAAGGAAGCATAATGATAATCACTGACGAATTTACAAAACTCGTCATAATCGGTAAATGGTTGCTTAGCAAGCAACCGATGTTGTATAGTAAATCCCTGGTATGCCATTATATCAATCCGAATCTCAGTCAAATCCTGCACGAATGTTTCAACACACGTACAATACCCTAAACTCTTACAACGTATTTCTTTACACGTACAACGAGGCATCGAATATAAAATTTTATCAAAACTTAACTTAATATCATATATAATTCTAAAATTTATTCATTTTATATTTTAAAATTTTTATGGATTTTACAATTTTATATTTTAAAACCAATTACTTAAACATAGAACCCAAAGTCCTGCCAAACGACGATTTCTCTTTATCCTTTTCTTTACCATAACTATCCCATTTCTTACCCAACTTTTCAGCCGCAGAATAATAATCACATCCACTTCGCTTCATTTTTAAACATAGAACCCAAAGTCCTGCCAAACGACGATTTCTCTTTATCCTTTTCTTTACTATAAATATCCCATTTTTCAGCCGCAGAATAATAATCACATCCACTTCGCTTCATTTCCTTCTTCAAATACTTATCCCGATCTCGCATTCCACTATAACCAGACGATAATGATGGTTTCTCATAAAAACCACACTTATCATTAGTACGTAGCTGTATTAAAAGCATATTCTTCTTTACTCTTATACAAAACAGAACCAATCGCATCACCGGTAGACATTCGACCATCCTTCATCAACATATATTGACTACTACCTCCAAAACAAACAACTCTATTAGCAGCAGACACCTCACGATTACTAGGCGTATTATAATAATAAACACTTTTATTGAAATAAAAGTATATTGTTAATTTATAATTTGTATCAAGTGATAATTTTGGTAAATAATTATAAAACAATTGACGTCAAGGTCATACTATCTTTTTTTCTTCTCTAAAAATGTTAAATTATTTTTGCCTTATTAATTAAAGTATAAGCTCATTGCTACATTGATATATGATAAAGTAAAATATTAATTTTTAAGATAGAGATGGTTATTGATATAGCTATTCCAATATAACTCGTAATATTTGTTAAAAAATTGAAATTTTAATGCAACATAACAAAACACACACGCACATAAATGTTAGACAGCATCCATACTTTTCTGCAGTACCAATATCAAATATTGTTTTGATATAATCAAAGCCGGATGCGTAAGGCGCGCGCGGAATGTGTTGCTCCGACACGATGCGGCGCGGCCGAGAGCTCAAAAAATGCTTGGTGATTGATGAAGCAAGCGCATGCTGCGCGAAAAAAAGCGCCGCGTCCCGCGCAATTACGCATTCGTATTCGCCATCAATCTTAATTATCGGCCGGCGCACAGAAGTAGTTCATTCGAATGTTAAGGGCGCGAGCTTTCTTCGTTCAGGCTAATTAAAAAGCGGAATAACAATCGGCGCGTTCGTGAACGTACTCGCACGGCGAAAATACTATCAATACACCTTGCGTAATTGAAATTAATTGCGCCTTTTGAAGCCTTTTCATTGAAAACAAAGCTCTATCATAAGGCTATAAAAACTATATTATTTAAAATAATAACTGAGTATATACACACTTTAATTAAACACATTGTATATACTTTATTGAAAAAATGATTATATTTTTTAATGGATTCCCCCCCCCCTTTTTTTTTGAACGTATATATTTTAAAAAACACAGATATTTATAGATTCGTTATTTAATAGATATTAACATTTATCTATCTTTCTTGCATATATTATTGGGCATAATTTTGTAACAATTGCCAGATTACTCCTTCTTGTCTCAAATGCAATATACATTTTCCTTTCATATTTTAGAAAAAATACAAATATATATTTATGTTAACATATATGCTCATTAAATTGTTGACAATATTCCCCGATCTTACCCAACGAATAAATTTGGAAGTAGAAGCTTATTTCCAAATTCTGTTCTTGATGTTTCGATGTTAATAACATTTTTAGTTTTGCTTCTTTTTTCATTTTTAGAAGTGTTTTAAGCTCTGGGAATATTGAGAGCCACACTGTTTTTTTACATGATATCCATTGATTTCGGATTTTCTTGTACAATTTATATTTTGTCGTTTTATAATATTTTATTATATCTTCAATTATAGTTGGATAAATTAAGCATCCGTCTATCATACATCCATATTTTATGACACCATTAGAATTTTTATTCTTTAAAAGTTTCGCTATATGACCGCTGAGGCCTCGCGAATTAGGTATATATTTATATGTACGAAGATATATTTGCCTCAGTTACAAATAGTTCATGGGGAGAATTACAAAACATTCTTTCTGCGCCTGAATTATTTGGCTCGGAAATCAAGAGACACGGTAGTGTCTCGCGCCAAGTCACGCGTAGCAATAGCGAGGCACTCCGGGTCCCGGAGTCCAGCGTGAGTCCAGCGGGAACTCTCCGTTGATATCCAACAGGACATTGGTGCGAGTGGTGATCATAAGACCGGAAACAGTTCTTAAAGACGCGTATTGTAGGCGACTGATATTCAAATAGAGGTTTTCATCCAGAGGATTAAAAGATTGACAGCCCCAATCTAATAGAGGTCTAATAAAACCTTTATAAATATTAAGCAAATTAGTGGGATGAGCACCCCACTTAATACCTGTTATAACTTTGAGAATGTTTATTCTTGGCATAATACGATTCCTCACATGGTTGATGTGTGCTTTCAAATTGAGCTCAGAATCCAACACAACACCCAAGAAGCGCGTCGCCGGAGAAAACTGTATATTGCCGTTGCCAACCCTAAGCTGAAAATTATGTTCGTTCATAAGTATGCGGAGATTTCGTGGCCTGAGTGTTGAAAAAATTACATAACTAGACTTAGAGGGGGAAATAACAAGTCCCAGGTTCATAAAAAATTGGTATAGGCTTTCTAATGCGTTATTCAACTGATCCCTGATAGACTCAAGTCGGCTATCCAAACAATATATTGCGATATCGTCCGCATAGTACAGTATATTCACAGTGTCAGGCAAAACCGTATGTGACAAGACAATATATAAATTGAACAATATAGGGCTGAGAATGGAGTCCTGAGGTAGGCCGATAGTGGTGTCACGGCTCTGCAAATTGATGCCTGTAGCGTAGCCAATAAGGTGTCTACGAGAAGTCAAGGCTTTAATGAATTTCAGAATTTTTGGAGGTAGCCCATATTTAGAGAGAAGGATTGTTAAAATCTCCGGGCGAACCCTATCAAAAGCTCCCTCAATATCAAGAAATGCAGCACCGGTATACTTACGGGCTTTATTAGACATGTGAATGCATGTAGTCAACGTGGAGATGCTATCTGTACAGGAAAGCCCTCTCCTAAAGCCAAATTGGGATTTGCAGAAAAGCGAACCCCTCTCTGTCCACCATTCAATTCTTTTATGGATCAACTTTTTGAACAGTCTCGGATGAATAATTGAACAGTGAAGAAGAATAACAAAAAACAATCGAAGTACACCCTTTAGATAGTTACAATCGTATTGTATGGAAAATCGTCTTCATTCATGTCCACGCTACTCTGGTTAATTCGATTTTTATAAAACTTAAAACGGAGAAACTTAAAAATATTTTTTATTATTATTTTTTTTTAGGCTTATATTTATGTAACATAATTTATTTTTTAATGATATATATACATATATTTATTTGTGTTTCTCTATACACGAATTTTAATAGAGTTTTATATATGTATATTGCTTTAAAGCCAAATTGGGATTTGCAGAAAAGCGAACCCCTCTCTGTCCACCATTCAATTCTTTTATGGATCAACTTTTTGAACAGTCTCGGATGAATAATTGAACAGTGAAGAAGAATAACAAAAAACAATCGAAGTACACCCTTTAGATAGTTACAATCGTATTGTATGGAAAATCGTCTTCATTCATGTCCACGCTACTCTGGTTAACTCCTCTATCTTTCCACCCTTTACCCGACCTGGCCCTTTGCGACTTTATACACTTTTTCCCCTCCCCTTCCTCGTCCCCCCATCTTCCTCCCACTACCCCTTTCCCCACCGGAAGGTTTGAGAGGAAGGAAATCCTCCTACGGAGGACATCAGTCAGAAATGCAATGGAATGATTTTACTGTTAAATTTAGATTCTGACTGGTTAATACAATATAAAAATATAATTGATTTAAGGATAAAAACATAAAATCAAAATCAATATGTATAAGTAAATAAGTGTATATGTTAAGAACGGTCAGAAATATAAAATTGGTCGCTCGCATATGTGTTAGATTAAGATCAGGATTTAAAATTTTCTAAGACTTACTACCGAAATGGGTTGATGATTTAAAAGAATGAAACATTCTTTGGAAAATTTTGATTTAAATAAGAAACAAGACAAAAAGGAGGAAAAGAAAAATTATTCAATTAAACTTACTTTTTCAATAGTAATTCAGAGGTGGAGGGGTGGCGAATTTTTGTACGGTGTTTCGCTCTGTGTCTCATGTCGGCAATCCGATGTTCGATTCGTGGTTGCTCTGGAGATGATGCCAAGTGAGGACACTGGTGGCACAAGTGCCTAACTCGCGAATTACGGTGCAAAAGCACAGAGTAAGACTGCGTGAAGCTGAAGACTGGAGAATAAGTGCGTAAGTGAGTTCGAGTCCTCTTTTTATATCTTTCTTTTCGGGGTGTATTCTAATTTCTAAGAGTGGGAATCTTCCAAAACTTTAACGAATTAAAAGTTGTGCCAGTGTCCTCATTAGGCGGGGTGTTTCTCCTACTTTTCAAATTTTCACTCATGACGATCGTCGATTGGTGATCAGTTCAGAGTCCCTTGAGCTCTAGGTTTCCCTTACGCCCGTGATTTGATTTAGACAAAGTCCAAATGTGACGTCACAAAAGTTTCGTCATTATTTATTTAGTTGTATTCATCGGATGTTTTGTGAGAATTTTATTATCTTTTCGTTATCAGCGTTTGAGAATGCTACTGCGAGGGTATCTACTGGTTCTTATTTATTTTTCGGCGACCGGCGCGGTTTCGTCGCGTCTTTCTCACGGTTACTCGTAGATATAGATATTGATAAGTGACTAAATGTTTAAGGAATGTGTGACGCAAGATGCTCTATTTACCGAACGACTCATTTCTATCACCGATCGATTATCATTGCCGCAACTTCGCGGAAGGAAGGAATCGTGAAGTCGCCAGGACGTAACACTATACTCTAGCGCAATCTATTTTCATGCATTACATTAAATAGCTTACTTTCATACAGCGATGCGCAATATACATAGGGCCCCTATGTATCCCAAGGCTAATAATATTCTGAAAATAGAAGCAGAGAATATTTTTTATCTCTTTCTCAAAATAAATAAAATATTATCTGAAAAAGTAATTATAAGAAAATCTTCATTTATAAAATGAAAATACAATTTTATATTCAATAATCTTGTTAAAATCGATATACTGTATCTTATTGAAATTTATGTTATTAAAAAATCATCCTGTGTAACATTTTTTTTCAAAATAAGTAGTTGATACTTAATTAACGTGACTAGAATATTACATTGTTTTTCGCAATATAACATGTTTTGGTTTTATGCAAATATTAGCCACCGAAGAAAATTCAAACAGCGTTCCGCTCGTTATTTCATGATCATTTGCTCAGTTCCGAGTACATATATGTATATCCACAGTTATTTTATAAGAGTTACCGAGAGAATGTAGAAATATTATTTTGCTTTACTTCCTTTTATTATTACGACATAAACCATCGTAATCCTCGTTTCGTGACATTATTGTCGCTCTTTCCTGCGAACAAATACCCGTAATACGTATTATCAATCGAGACATATCTTAAATTGGAATTAAATAACTGTTAACAAATAATATTAAACAATTAAGCAAATATAAAAAAGAAATTATATGTGATTCTAAAAACTGATATTGTTGATACATTCAATTATTGAGCAGAAAATTAATGTACTAAAGTTAAAATTCACTTTTAAGCGGAAGTATATTTAAAGCTAAACATGAAACCTAAACGTGCAGCAGAGTCTGCTGCATATCTTTCTACTGAATTATCTCCTTTTTTTCGAATGCTCTATATTTCCCCGATATCAGACGTATGCCGCCATGCACGTGTGACATGTAAATCGTTCGCTCACCTGCGTCATCGGAAGAATTTAGAAAGTGAACGGGTCGCTCTGTGAAAACCGCCGACACGGTTTCGTCGCGTCTTTCTCACGGTTACTCGTAGATATAGATATTGATAAGTGACTAAATGTTTAAGGAATGTGTGACGCAAGATGCTCTATTTACCGAACGACTCATTTCTATCACCGATCGATTATCATTGCCGCAACTTCGCGGAAGGAAGGAATCGTGAAGTCGCCAGGACGTAACACTATACTCTAGCGCAATCTATTTTCATGCATTACATTAAATAGCTTACTTTCATACAGCGATGCGCAATATACATAGGGCCCCTATGTATCCCAAGGCTAATAATATTCTGAAAATAGAAGCAGAGAATATTTTTTATCTCTTTCTCAAAATAAATAAAATATTATCTGAAAAAGTAATTATAAGAAAATCTTCATTTATAAAATGAAAATACAATTTTATATTCAATAATCTTGTTAAAATCGATATACTGTATCTTATTGAAATTTATGTTATTAAAAAATCATCCTGTGTAACATTTTTTTTCAAAATAAGTAGTTGATACTTAATTAACGTGACTAGAATATTACATTGTTTTTCGCAATATAACATGTTTTGGTTTTATGCAAATATTAGCCACCGAAGAAAATTCAAACAGCGTTCCGCTCGTTATTTCATGATCATTTGCTCAGTTCCGAGTACATATATGTATATCCACAGTTATTTTATAAGAGTTACCGAGAGAATGTAGAAATATTATTTTGCTTTACTTCCTTTTATTATTACGACATAAACCATCGTAATCCTCGTTTCGTGACATTATTGTCGCTCTTTCCTGCGAACAAATACCCGTAATACGTATTATCAATCGAGACATATCTTAAATTGGAATTAAATAACTGTTAACAAATAATATTAAACAATTAAGCAAATATAAAAAAGAAATTATATGTGATTCTAAAAACTGATATTGTTGATACATTCAATTATTGAGCAGAAAATTAATGTACTAAAGTTAAAATTCACTTTTAAGCGGAAGTATATTTAAAGCTAAACATGAAACCTAAACGTGCAGCAGAGTCTGCTGCATATCTTTCTACTGAATTATCTCCTTTTTTTCGAATGCTCTATATTTCCCCGATATCAGACGTATGCCGCCATGCACGTGTGACATGTAAATCGTTCGCTCACCTGCGTCATCGGAAGAATTTAGAAAGTGAACGGGTCGCTCTGTGAAAACCGCCGACACCGCCGTGAGACGGAAAAGATAATGCCAAATGTGTCGGTATCTTAAAAATACGCATTCTGTTACGATAAATAAATTCCATCTGAAATAAATTCTATCGGCTTCGCGCTTTGTACATAGCCGATCGGTACGCATCAAACGAAGCCGGGTCGCTTTTGGCGCAGCAGCAAAAGAGAGATTTATCGATGGATCTTAAAGAATTATGCGTCACTAAAATGATACGGCGCGAATTCATTGCCGTTAATTGAATTGAATTAATTTTCTCACCGAAAGCGTCTAATCATCACTGGATCGATATAATCATGATGCATGATAATAACTATCGCGGGAGCGGCGGGGACGGGATCATTATTATTATCATCTAATACAAATTCTTTTTCAAAAAAATCGTCATCCATTTCTATCTAAAATGTTTAATAAAATAAAAATATTATTGTAACAATTATTTTTTAATTTAAAATAAAGAATATTAAATATAGTACGTACATCTTCCATTATTATATCTTCCATTACACTTTTTCTCACCATATTGTTTCAATTATCGATTGATCGATAATTGATATAGATTCGTAACTTTTTAATACAGTGAGAAAGGCTATCAAAAATAGCGTAACTACAAGGTAAACAGCAATGCTAATTTGATTAATCACATTATAATTTGTGAAACGGTCGTTAGGTAGACTAATAAATTATAACAAAACCAAAGATATTTATTTAATATTAATCTAATATTTAATATCAGAAAACTTTCTGTTATCTTTTATCACATACATTTGTTATTATAGATCTTTGCATTATAGATTTTATTTTTATAAAATATTTCATGGAGATCTATTTTCTTTTTGAGGATCGGATATCTAGAGCAATATTGAATTAAAAATGTTACATGTTACATATTTATATAAAGTATGTTAATATTACATTTTACTTCACAGATATAGAACTGACATATATACATATTATTAGAGCTATATTTTAATAAGAAAGACACTAACTCCTACGGTAAATTTGTACCATGCTAAAAAAAATCGCGTTTAATACCTACATTTATAAAACAACTCATTATATGTAGTGTATGAATTGGCGATTTTATTTTCTTATATAAAATAAAAAATTATAAGAGAGGCATAGCGTTAAAAAAAATAAAAAATAAATTTATGAAAAAAAATATTTAGCATCTACGTTAATAAAAAAACAATATTGATAAAAATAGTGGTAGCAGAATCACTTTCGTTGGTCGCGAATCACTTTCTGATTGTCGAAAGAAGAGCGATTATAAAAATCCTTTCTTGTACTGGAATTTTCGAAAATTCTGCCCGACAACCTCTATTCTTGTCTCCTGCGTACTTCTTGCAAGCATAATATTCGCTTTGCTCGCAACGTATTCCCACAACGTGACGCCTACTTGTCGATGCATCTTGGTAGCGCATCGCCTGCATTTTCGTACAGCTCGCTCGCGGCATTCGCACACAAAAAAAAATCAACGAAAAGATATAGCGGAATAGTGAAAATGCGTACGTCTCCTACGCTTGAGTGAATCCGCTGAGAGAGAAGCGAGAGGAAACAAAGCCCAGAACCAAAGAGTGTAGTCGCGACGAAAGAAGTCGCGAATGTCTTCGGCGTGAACTGCTGCCACCACCCTTTGTGCTTTGATAGCATCCCGCCGTCTTGCACTTTCCGCCCGCGGGGATGAAGCTGTACCGTACCTTCTTCCCCCAGAGAAAACTGTCGTCCCTTTAAATTTATTTATTTTCCCCCATTTCAGTATCTTCTATTCTCTTCGATTTCCTTGATCTCGACACTCGCGACTCCAATCCTTCGAATTCCGGAAATCGATTGCACAACCGAGATCATTGAGACAATTTTAACAATCTTTACCGCCTTTTCGCTATTGGTTTTTTTGGAGATAAGAAAACTAGTTACAATAATGGGCAGAACTCGAAATTTTCGATTGATATAATCGATAATTACTTTGCAACAAAAAAAAAAACGTTTCTAAATATCGATAACATAATTGCGTGAATTTCTCTGCTTTTTACATTTCTCGGTTCAAATTTTATTTGTATTTCATACAATAAAATTGATTTTATTATTTGATTGTGGAAGTATCAGTTATAATTCATGATTTTGTATACGCTCATTTATCGATGAAATGAAAAATATCATTTTTTTATCACAGGATCTGTAATTACATCTACTGTTAAGAAATGATACGTATGAATAAGATTAAATTTTTAAAATACCGTTTCTTTTATATTGTTTACATTTTTTACGTTTATTTATTTCTTAATTTCCTATTTGAAATGTTAGACGAGTTCAAATTCGTTTTTGCTTGCGAATAAGATTAATTCCGCCAGCGTGCAGTGAAGAAGGGCGATTCGTTACTTGTTATTGTTGCTATGAAAATGGAGGTAAATTGTTTAACTTGTTTTACTAATAGTAACATACAATATGCATATATATAATTAACATTTCTTCATTATAGCATATTATTAAAGCGTCTACAAATGGAATTGTTGAAAATGTACTATGTTCTATAGGTGATAATGTTGCCAAAAATTTCTTATCAAATTGTCAGAAGCTAAAACATTATATATGCAACATGATATAATAATCATTTTAAATATGTATAATATATTATTTTTTTTGTAATGGATTTATAATAAAAATAATTATCTTGTTTATTTAAATAAATAAATACTCAACATTTATATATATGAAATTTTTATTTTACATTATATATATGACATTTTTATTTTGAATGTATATGTATTTCGATCGAAAGGATATAAATATAAAAATGTTAAAAAGATACTTTAATTTCAATTTTCAAATAATTTAATTACTTAGATATCTTATTTTCTCGTACCTAATTAATTTGCCGAAATCAAATTTGCCAAATTAAAAATCGGGCTGTCGTCCTCATCCCCAAAAACCGAGCTATGAGGGCAGTTGCACCGCCCATATTCGATAAGATATGCATAGCCATTTATAGTCTCAAAACTGAGTTTAATGGCAGGTTTCAATATGTTTGTACCTGTCGGTTTTGCTTCATCCAAGCGTTTGACTAAGTTTTTTGCGTGTTCACCGCAAAAGTATATTTGATTCATATCGCGGTATTTATATTCAACTATCCAACGGCATGGTATTGTCCCCGGACCTTGTAGACCTTTTACTGAATATATATAAAACTCTATTAAGAACCGACGACATCGATCTTCAAATATTTCTTGTGCTTTTGCACAAGACGTTGCAACATCATTTTGTACAGTACATGGCAGAACATCTTCAAAGAGAGCAGCCATGCTGAAATAAATTACATATGTTAAGCTAATAAAAATATGGATGGTGAAACGAAGATATGTCACAATAGTTAATAGTTTCTTAATCTTGATACATTTTATATTTCTTATCACAAATATGACTGAGTTCTATTACGGTTAGCGATATATCAGGCCGATTTATTTCCACCATTAATAAATGAGCAATACCTTTGGCGTGATTAGAACTGATTTACCGTGCCGAAACGCGCCGATCGATAATAATAATATTCAAACCAACCGGTCGTTGCACCGGTGAATTTACATATTAAAGCTCGAGCCAGAGAGATTACACGAATTTTGGGGTGAATCGACGGAGGGAAGAGCAGATAAAACACTAATTTCCTCGCTTGCTACACGCTCATTGATTTCTCAGTCACAAACAAATTCTCTTTATAATTGCTGATTTGAACTCTTTTGAGCATAATAAATATTTTATTTGGTTATAATTTATTAAAATATTTTGTATTTTAATATTTCTGTTTTGTATCTCTTTTATTTTATTCTAGGCCAGTAAATTTTTACATCAGAACTCTTTATGTATGAATCCTAGATAAATATACTCTCTGTAGTATCGATGCTATACTGCTTATGTCGAAATAATTTAGGTATTGATCGATTACGCGCGTCAAATTTTTCAAAAGGGATGTAAGCAATTTATAGCATACTTACACTTGTTTAAATGAATATTTTTCTTCATAGCTTATGGAATCATAGAAGTGTCATTTTATTAACCGATCGAATAAACATGGGCGGCAGGTGGCCACCACGAACATTCACCGGCGAATAAACGTCATTGCCGGCCTGATTTGCAGGTATTAAGCTGCTTAATGAGCCTGACATTAATTTCGAGCTCATTGCTGGTGCAGTGAGTTATATCAATGGGCGCGTTTGATGAGCGGGCGATATTTATCTCGCGATTAACTCGTTTCGATTTGTCTGTAAAATTGCTGAAACCGAAAGCTTTTTATTGCCTTTATTTGCAAAATTATTATTGTTAAAATCGATGCTGCTAAATCGGCTTAGGATTTAGCATAAGCGCCAGTTTTTATTTTATTTTGGCTATTTATGAAAATAGATTAAAACGCAACTTAATGAAATTATTCTGAAGATTAATGATTTTCTTTAAAGGCTTTTTGATCCTTTTAATTTTGCCAATTTTTGAAAAAATATTATAAAAAAATTTTTGGCTCGATCTCATGTATTTTCTTTTATATTTCTTCTATATTGATGTAATTATTTTATTTTGCATTTATATATCTTTATACTTTACATATATCTATTAATTAGATATTTTTATTTGTGTAATATACATATAGGGTGGAATATACATACATATAATACATATATGTATGTATAGATGCTATAAATACTGTAATGCGTACAGTGGTTGCTCGCGCAAAAAATCTAATAATACAATAATGGAAAGATTAACTACACAAAGCGCTATAAAACAGTTCTTATTTCTTTCATGATATTTCTAAAAATGATAAAGGATAAAGTTTTTCATGACGAATTTTTTTTTTATAGAAATTAAAGATTTAAGAAGTGTTGAATTTTTTTTTTCTTTTTATAGAGACCATTTTAGCTCTTGAAACATGAATTAAGCTGACACTATGACCAAATTATATCAAGATTTCAAAGTGTTTATTAAAACACTTTTATGTTCATCTTAAATATCTTGCCGTTTTTAGTAAATGGAAACCAAATCAACATGACGCTTTTGCTGCAACATCGGTGAAAATTTGTTTTGCGAAACAACGTTATCGCGTCTGAATTTTGTGGACTTGATATACATACGTCCGTGTCATCGTGCAATACTCAACCCGGGTAAACGTCGATACTCGCGCGGGTCGTAGCAGTCGTTTCTGGTCGTTACCTCGCTTTTTGCGGCAACAGAAATGAGGCGTCAAATGACTGAGGCCGGGGTCCGCGTCCGCGCCAGACTTCGGCCATTTGTTGCAGAGTTTCTTTCTGACGTCCAATTGAGTTTGCGGTTTAACTCGTTGAGCAGTACGGGAGGGTAAACGCATCTGTGTTACTCGGAACTCTTTCGCGTTTTACTTCCGCTTAAATCGACCGGGGCAACGCGCGTGGTAACGCGGCCGAACTTTCATGGCAAGAAAGCCGAGGAGATTGCTACCCCTGGTGGCTATATATATATATATATAGTCTATGAGAGATATAAATAAAGTACATATATATTCA